GGAGATTACCACAACAGCTCTCCTCATTCATTAAATTTTGAACTGGCCATTTGAAGGCCACATTTCTCTTTTGGGTGAAGAGAAGTAGGATTCTGTCTACCCCAAGGCTAGGTGAAGTCAAGTTTGTCTTAGCCTAATCTTGGCTCCTGCTACCCATTACAGTGAGAGTTTTCACCTGGTTTTGTGGTTTTCTTTGTGTTTTTATTATTTAAGACATGAGAATTATCTTCTTCCCTGTGGCCCACCTCCATGAATAGTGGCAGCTCTGCCATAATCTGGAAAGACTTGGGAGAGAAGGCATGTAACCGCTCTTCCTACAAGAGCAGCCCACTTCCTTTGTTTCTGGTGATGTAGAGGAATCACGTCAGGAAGTTTTCCAAGCAGCGTCATCCCAGGGAGCAGCTGGGCAAGTCAAGGCAGAACAGGGAAAGGAGCTCAGAATGACCCTCAGCATCCTCCACTCATGGTTACTGATGTTGAAACCCATTACCAGGCACAGCTAAGACCTGAGGCCTAACTTTGGGTGGAAAACGCCCAGGCCTAGGTGCAACGTTTCCAAAGCCATCGCTCACAGTCACAGATAAAAGTCCTACATGATTTGCCATGAAGTGTATACCTAGAAGCAAGGCAGAGGTTGAGTATAACCGCATTTATTTTCTTCTGCTAAACTTCAATAAGAAATTTAGCCAACTGAGAATAGCTTAAACAATGGTAACTGCGAACATATGTGAAATTTCTGTAAAAGGACGTTGTTTCCATTGTAATATTATTCTCTGCTGTTTTTTTTTTTTCTTTCTAGAGGAGTGGGTTGAAGCTTGATTTTAGATATGGACTCTTTTTCATCCCTGTAAAGTAGCTGGGTTGCAGGCATATAGTTACTCATCTCTGACTGTTGTTGAAACATGTAGGAAGGGAGAAATTCAAATGGAATACACAATTACAAGTTTCTTTAAGTCTAATTTCATTGTACTTTTACACATCTGGATAATTAACCAAGCATTACATTCTCTCTAGAGTATTTTTACAAGTACAATATGCTCTTCATGTGATTTCCATTAGGCTGTTCCAAACATTTAAGAACTCAGGAAGATTGCAGACCAAGATTCAAAACTACTATGCCATTATGATGTTGAGAACTTTTTGCCATGGGGGAAACAAAAGAGTTAGAGCTGAATTCTGAAATTTTTCAGATATAGTAGAAAAATTGGAGGTTTATTGCTTCGTTAAGCTTAGACAATATAAGTGTATACAAACACATGTTAATATCTCTGTTTCTTCTTGTTGGAGGTGTGCTCCAATATGGTCACTGTGCTCCAATATGGGAAAAATTAACTGAACAAGAGCCGTGCTAGAATTGGCAGGCTGAAGCTCTTCTAAGTATTAGAAATAATAAGGGGAGATTAATATCCAGATGTGTCAATTGGTAACATTTGGATTGTTGTGTAAGACATATATGTTTATCTGTCTAAATTCTTTATTCGAAGGTCACTGCTAAAGTCTAAAATAATGTGTTGGATAGTTTCTGGCTGTACTTTTTCTCTTTCCTTGATAATTGCTTTGATGTTGTGCTGAGCTTTTATGAGGCCAAGATCAGATCTGATGTTAGGGGTTAGTGTTAATTCATAGACTTCGTTGTCCAGCTGCTGCCCACATTGGTGAGCACCATGGGGAGGTTGGAGAAACTGCAGGACTAACCAGCTGTGGTTAACTGTTGTCAGCATTATAAGCAGAACTCAAAACAAAAGGAACAAGAGTTCTTAAAAGTTCAAGGTCAAGGGCTAAGCCTAAGGGACCACAGAGGCATCCTCTAATTTGTAAGGCCATTATATCTAAATCCTGCCCCTCCCCCACATATGAGGGTCGATTCTATTTGAAATGCATACAGAGAGGAGAAGACTAGGTAAAATTAAAAAAAAAAAAAAAACTTGTCATTTGAAGTACTTGTGGTGATCAGAAATTGTTAAATTGAGAAATAAAAAATTCAGAATAAGTGTGGTTTTGCAAACAAAAAGATAACAAGGAAGGTGAAAATTGAAATTTCATTATAATGTTTCTCTGTCTGTTTTTCAAAAAATCATCTCATAATTGTCTACTGTGTGACAGCCTGAGTCATTCATCCAATGGAATGATTAATGAAAAAGGCAATGAAGGATTTGTCACACTGACACAAAGCAGGGAAATGTGTGATAGCCACTAGCAGCAGAAAAATGAGATAAGTGTCATCACCGTTAGCTTAGCGGATGTGGATTGAATACTGAAGAATCTGTTTTCGAAAGTGATTATAGAATTAGTCATCTCACTGTCTTGTTTTTCATATATGGTCAGCTTAGCAAGCAAGGCATAGATAAAATCAAGACTGAGTCCCAGTGTGGGGGCTGAGAGATCCCTGCTGCATTCCTGAACTGTTGACTGAATATGATTTGATGTGAGAGATGAGGGTTTTATAGATGGAAGTCATGCAAGGCATATGACTGAAATGCACAGACATGCTTGTTTTCATGATTGTAAAATATAGGAAAATAATGTTTACTGTAAGTGAACCCAGATTAAAGTAGGTGAAATAGCTTGGTTCACAGTAGATGCTAAAAAGTCCGTGTTTCTTCTTAATTTCCTGCCTGGTCATGGCCCAGATGTGCCTGATGGTCACAGGGAAAAGGATCATAAAATTCTGGATACTTTAGGCTAAATCTGTATTGTTGTCTGCTAGTGATTTAAGGTGCATCCCCCTCGACCTCAGAAAGAATGAAGGCAGGTGTTTCTTTCTAGGCCTAACATTAAGAAAATCTGAGAAATAGCATCACTGAATAATAAACTCAGCATTTGCATCAATTTTCAACAGAGAAAAATATTTAGAAATAATGTTAGGTAAGTTACCTAGCAAGTATATTTTTATGTAACTACATTGTGCTAGGCAGTGTGCATACTTTGGGGCTAATAATTAAAGCACTGGTAAAGGTTGAGCCATCACATTTGAGACAAAGTTTCCATAGCATGTTTTCAAAAGACATTGAGAGCTTTACAAGGGCAAATGTTGTGCCTTATTTATTTTCATGACTTCTCAAATATCTCGCATTAATGCATTTGACAAGAGTCATTCAATAAGCCATTGTTAAATAAAGACTGCATAATACATCTTTTCCAGTGAAATAATTACTCAAGGAAGTGTGCCTTTCTGTACCTTACAGAAATTTTATTTTCTAAATATCCATGTATTGCGCCAACAAGAAAACAAACTACAGTTATGCAAAAAATCAAATTTTAGATGTATAAACAGATTTTTATAGCTAAAATGTACTTAGAAATATGAGTGAATGGACTGCTTTGATTCAGTACTTTGCCTAATAGTTCATTACTGCATAAGAGGATTGTATCAGTGAGACCTTATATAAATAGCATAAATTATACTCCTTTATTATTAGTTTGGAAGGAATGCAAATTTTGTAGAAGGTCAGATGAGGTGTGCTTTGGTTCTAGTACTTAACTTCTCTGAGTCCTGATGTCGTGTCTTGAAATTACATAGTGGTGTCTCCAGCATGAGGCTATGGTATGAATTAGCTAAGACCTCTCAGGGATTCCTAACCTTGGAACCACAGATCTCTGGCGATCCCTGGAGACAGGGTAGAGGGTCTGTACACTTGCAGCTACCCACATGAGGGTTAGAATCTATCTTGAACATACATCAATTTTTTTGAAATTAAAATTTGTTGGAGAATGATAAAGACTAAGGCAAAAGTAAGGGAGAGAAGGGAAATATAAAGATAGAAAAGAAGAGGTATTACATTTTAAATAGGGTGGTCAAGGAAAAGATCTCTCAGAAGGACCAATTTGAGGAAGCGAGAAAATGAGCTATATGGATATCTGTAGGGAGAACATTCCGGTGTTAATGCAAAAGCCTGGTGGACAGGCTTGCAATATGTCAGGAAGAGTTCAGGAGCCAGTAGGGTTAGAGAAAAATGAGCAAGAAGGGAGTAGTGGATGAAGGGGAAGAGAGCAGCTCCCATCAGCGTCGTGTCCCAGAAAAGCCCTTTGTTTTTACTTGAAGTTGAATGGGAAATGGATGACACATTTCAGTGGAGAAGTGGCTGGAGCAGGGTAGTGGCAGGATGCGAGAAGACACCACACTGTGGAGCTGGGGGATTTTTGTGGGGATGCAAGCGAAACAAAGGTGTATAAGGAATTGACAGCAAGATTTTTGACCTGAACGATCAAAGCAGAGTTAACATGAAGGGGGGGCTGCAGGAAAGCTTGGGAATTGGGAGCTTCATTTCAAACAGGAGATTTAGCGTCAGACATACAATGGGAGATACCAAGAAGGCAGCTTTGGATGGGAAAAATTACAAAATTGTTGTAAAATATTACTAGGTCAACTGTAACACTTTTTCAGCATAGTCTAAAAGTAGAAGTATTATCATGTTTGTTTGGGGAAAGGATAGTCACAGAATATTTGGACCTTGAAAAAGGACCCTGTGCTGAAAAATGTTGGAAGTAGAGATAAATTCAAGTGAAAATTTCAGTGACCAGTAAGTATTATTTTCCATATCCCCTTCTATTCCTTTAAATACATTGATTTCAAAATTTCTATCATTATCTAGATTTTGAAGTTTTAGGTTTAGATGAGATTTTTTTTCTCTTTAATGAAATTTGAATCTTCTTTAATGAAATTCTACTGAGAAAAGCCAAACAGATGTGAGAATTGTGTTCTCTGTCTTACATCTTTTTATTTTGGGAGGAAATTAGAATGTTGACTTTTATATATGTTTGTTATTTTTGGTGTACCTAAACTATAGCTTGTATGTCATTTCATGCTATTGTTCAATAACAAAATTATAACAAAAGAAATGAGAGGCAAAACTGTTTGCTGTTATGGAGTTGACATTGTGAAGGTGATATCAGATGGTATCTCATACGGAAACATTCGCTGTTTCTTTAATTAGCTTAAGCACATATAATTGTACTAACTTCAATTTGTGATTGTGCATGCTAACGTCTGTCCTTCTCAGTCTTATGCAGGGAAATACGTACCAGCCATTGCACACTATATCCACTCCCTCAACCCTGTTCGGGAATTCAAGATCCACCTGAAAGGAATCGCCCTTGGAGATGCATATTTTGATCCTGAATCGGTAAGTGTCTCGCATTTTCTTTCCCTTTTGTCTCTTACAGATATTAGACCCCTTTTGGTCAGATGGACACTTCCTTACTGTACATGCCTAATTGATAAAGAGCATTATTGGGTGATTTTATGATTTAAATCTTCAACTTTTTACTACGTGTTCTCTTTTATGACTTCCTACCTTGGCTATGAGTGCAAAAGCATGCATGTGCGTGTGCATGCATGCACACAGATGTGTGCTTTGTAGGGTATGTATGTATAATTATGTGCATACTTGTCTTTCTTGGCCAATTTCAGCACAAGATTGACAATTACAGAGGGCTACTTCATGAAGCCATGGACTTCCCAACCCTCCATCTTTCTCTCTTTTTCTGCCATTTATACATGTCTCTTTTGTCTTCAGATTGTTGGGGGCTACGCAGCATTCCTGTATGAAATTGGCTTGCTGGATGAGAGGCAGAAAAAGTACTTCCAGAAGCAGAGCGATGAGTGCATAAAACACATCAAGGAGCAGAACTGGCTCAAGGCCTTTGAAGTGAGTTCTGGGGCTCTGTGCTGCCCTTGAGCAATTAAAACCAGCTGGGGGTGGGGGGTCAGGAGACGCACCATGGTGCTCAAGCATTTTTGTGTGAGAGGAGAAGTATCTGTTCTACTGTCTCAGATCAGGGACTGGACACAAACTCTTTGCATTTCTTTGAGTTTACTTTGGCTGTGTTTTAAACCTGTGATCATACTGGAGTGTTTGTCTAACTGTGCCTTTCATTAACTGTTCAGAATTCTTTAAAAACTGTGTAGGACCTAAAGGCACACTAGATCATATGGAAATCAGCCGAGAGGCAACCTGGGAAGTGGATGCATAACATATGCCCCAAACCATTGAAGGTTTATGTCCACAAATAAGCATTCAGATGGAGCAGTGACTGTAGTATGCAGCAAATGTCACATGTTCCTTTATGTTAGGAACAAAGATTATGAAGTGTGGCAATTTGAAACTTTTATAAAGAATCATTGGTATGTGTGAATGTTGTTACATTGCTGTCTGAAAATCAAACTAGAGATTTGATAATATGATTATATTTTTCATCCTCTTGTCTTTTCTTTTGGTGTTATATAAAATATAAGTATACAAATTAGGATATAGAGAGATGAGTGGTTCGGTCCAGTGCAGACAAAAGTCATACTTAAACAGTGTTCCTTACTAAAGAGCCATTCTGTTTGACACATTGGTAAATGAAGCAAGGACTAAATTTTTGAGGACTTTAATCTGCTTGTCATTAGACACACAGGATATGTACCTGCAGTCATTATGGTTAGTTAGGCAGAAGTTAATAGTCTTCTGTCTAGTGCTGATCCTCTGGTTCAGTTCAAAATAGGAGAAGAACAAACTGAGGGAGAAAAGGGTAACTTAAAGTTACCTCCATTTCACAAGTCTGCTTCATTTTTCAGGACACTGCCTGAAATTCCCCAAGGCAGTAGCCACCGTGCTCTGAATTCTGATGGCAGCAAGCTGTGCAAATGGATTGAGAGAGGGAAGTCCCTGCCATCCCTGAGGTCTCCAGTGGGCCCTCACTTCTGTGTCAGGACACCAGATGTGGTTGCTCTGTATAAGTTCAAAGTTTCTTCATCTATTAGAGATACGAAGGAAGAAGGATCTTGCAGGACACACGCAGAGTGTGTGCTTACACTCACAATGACATTATTTTCAAGATTGGAGTCAAAGATGGGAACAACATGTGAACCTTTAGAATTAATGCCAATTTTATGGGTTATGACAGCAGTGTGCAAGTGAGAAATCTGATATTCTTTTAGAGAAGCACATAGAAATTAAGCAGTGTCAAGAGTAAGAACACTTGAGAAGCCCAGATGTATGAAGAAGGTAGAGGGGTGATTGTGACTTTTGCTACATAAGCCTAGAAATCCACCTGATTAGGGAAAGTGTTGAAAAGGTGGAGTCTTTTATGTATAGCAAGAATGTGCCCAGGAAGTTAAGTAGCATCTCTTCCAAATCAGATTTCATCAGAAAAACAAACAAAAAAAAATCAGCAACAAAACTAAAAGTTTTAAAGGGTTGGGACATCTTGTTGATCATTGATCTAATATCTTGAGCGATCAATTTAAACATAAAGATCTTTGATATTTTTAGAAAAATATGAAGAAAATTAGGACAGTAAGCCAGGGGCTGAAATGTATTTGTATGGTGAGCAGTGAAAGACTCTAAGAAATCCTGAAATCAGATACAATACAGGTGCTAGAATCTTGAGCCTAAATGATACCTGTTTGATGCTTTGATTTTAAAAAATTATTTCATTAATTGAAAAGCAGTACCTCACAGGTGGAAGGGACTTTAGAGACAGAGAATAATACACACAGATGTATATATTTTGCTTTGAGGATGCTGAGACCTGTAGGAGTGCAATGAATTGCCAAAAGACATAGCAGTAAACTATAGCAGCCTATGGCTAGAATTATTTCTTCTGATACTATCCCAACATTTCTCTTGAAATGGATTTTAAACATTTTATATAGTATCCTGTTATATCTTACAGACCTTACAGTGTACCAAAGATCCGATTCGTGGTCATGTCTTCTCTTCCTTTCTGTGGCAGTGCTCTGAATTAGAATTCTTAGGTGAAATGCGTTAAAACCAGGAGCTGGACTTCATGGGTTTGGGCCATTCATTTTATTTCTGTGACAGCAGGCAATGTTTTACTCTTTCTGGAAGCAAATCCATTCTTTCAGTTATTTATTTTTATTACATTATTTATTTATTTTTATTTTTGTGTTTTTGAGACAGGGTTTTGCTATGCAGTCCAGGCTGGCCTTGAGCTCACTTTGTCATAAGGCTGGCCTCAAACTCATAGCAGTTCTTCGGCCTCAACCTCCTGAGTGCTGGGATTCCAAGTGTGCGCTGTCACACTCAGCCTCAAATCCATTCTTTTAAAAGTTGATTTTATACTTTCATTAATGTTGAAGATAACACCCCTAAAGATGAGTTCCAAAAACTCTAGGTACATTAAAGACAGCTACTAGCCTATTTATGTTCCTTCTGGGTGAGCAAATTAGAAAAAGACACTTCCTCTGGACTCCAAACCTGGCAGTTCAGAGTTTGGCGAGCAGGAGCCTCCAGTGAGAGGATAAGGGTGACCATTTCTCCAGACCCTGGATACTCAGCTTGGTTAGCAGAACTTCGGCTGCTTTGCCAGCCCTGTAGCCTGCTTCTTTTCAGCCTGTTGGTCTGCTACCTCCTCATCATCTCCAGCCCCCTTCTAAGCCAGACTCTCTCAGTGTCCCCTACATGTGTGTGCACGCCTACGCTACCTTCTATGCCTGTTCTCCTTCTCACTCTATAACTCACTACCTATTTTGCCTAGTAGCGCATATGTGTTGTCTCCTCCCAGAATCCAACCTCCAAGAGGTGGAATTTTGATCTGCCTTGTTCCCTGAGGTTTCCCCAATGCCTAGCACAGCATTTAGCACACAAATGTGCAATAAATGCCTGGCCAGTGAAGCAGTAAAGGAATGAACAGTTTCTGACATTTCCTTTTCTTTCTCCCTCTCTTCCAACCTAGGTACTGGATAATCTGTTAGCCGGTGACTTAACCAGTAAGCCTTCTTTCTTCGAGAATGTGACGGGATGCACTAGTTACTATAACATTTTACAGTGCACGGTAATGACCAAAGTTTTAAAACCATAGTAATGTTTGTTTCAAACTTCTGGCACAACCAAACTCTCTCTGATTTGGGGAACATTATAGCTGACTTTATAGCAAACAGATATGTCCACAGTGCAGTGCTTGATTTGGTCTACTGACCTGTGGGATTTCATCCCCTCCAGTTATCCTCTGTCATGGAGAGTGTGATATTCCAGATAATGCAGAAGGATTTCTGATGAATCCAGTGCACCCCTCCGCTCCACCAGAAGCTTGTTACGTGGAGAGGCCCTACACAAAGAAGGGGCAGGCTGAGATCACAGTGCTGGGTTATCAGGTCTCTGCTTCAGGCCTGCTTCTGAGTGTCTTACAAATGCCCACATTCTTTGTTCTGTACTTAAGATGGTTTAGGCAATCAAAGCTGCCACCGCATTTATGAAAATATTTGCTTTGTCTTACTTTTAGCTTGAGATGGTTAGTGCATTTAGTATGACCCTCACTTCAGGCCCTCTGGAATATTTCTCTAAGTATTCAAGTAGTTTCTTTCATAAAAGTAGCCCAAAGTGGATGTTTTTATGTAGAACTAATCAAATAAAGGAAAAAGGAACCAAAGCAGGTTCGGATTTGCATAATCTTTGTCTAGTGTATTTGACAATACATTCAGTTTTTTAAATTACCACATTTATGAACTATTTGTAAATAAAATGCAATCAATTTCAGTGGAATTTGCCAACTCAATAGTTTCGGATTAATGTTCTACTAAGAGCAGACCACATGTTAAGGAAAAGAGAAACTAAAAATGTGATTGTGATTGTGTTTTTTCTCTGTAATATAATCACAGTTTTTCTCTGTGATATATTCACAGTTAATAAAAATCGTTGAAGTACAACATTGTTGAATTCAAACCCTCACAGTTTTTTATGCCCTTTTGTAACAAAGCTTTTGTTTTTTTCTTTTTGTTTTTTACTACCAGGGATTGAATTCACGACCTCTCGCTTACCAGGCAGATGCTTACACTGCTGAGCTAAATCCCCAGCCCTTAAAGCCTTTTTATTTAAAAAAATTATTCTTTTTTTATTCTAGCACAATGATTGTTGCAAACATTTTTATGCAGTGTGGTTTTTATGGAGAAATTTCTTTGGTCACGTCTGCTTTGTAAACTGTCATCTGTTCTCACAATTGATATATTTCTCCCCCTTAAGTTATAGTCAGCTGATAGTTTTGTATGACTTTAATAATCAGCAGAATATAGAAAAGAAATTTTTAACTTTTAGTTCAACATGTTGACCTTGCTACGGAGCAATATCAGGATAATCTCATCTCTTTTCCCTATCTCTACCACTGAGGTATTTTCTAATTAAAGTCACAGACTGCAGAAGATTAGCTTCCAGAACTGGCTGCAAGAGTACCAGACCATTCATATTCGTAATGAAAGGATCTCCCTTAAATAACCTCAGAACCTCCCAATTAAATTTTAAGAACGTGGACAGTAGTCCTGTCACAGTCTATGTACCATGTTACACCTTATGAGAAATTTGCTGGTGTTCCTGACACAGGATCGTGTTTTCTAATGTTTCTGATGTGCCCTCTGCTAGGATCCTGAGGAACAAAGTTACTATGGGAAATTTTTGTCACTCCCAGAAGTGAGACAAGCTATCCATGTGGGAAACCGGACTTTTAACGATGGAGCTGATGTTGAAAAGTACTTGCGAGAAGACACAGTACAATCAGTTAAGCCGTGGCTAACTGAAATCATGAACAACTACAAGGTAAGAAAGTTACATTAATCATTGTCTGCTTTAGGAACTTTTCAGGCTGCCCAGAGCAGAGATGACTTTCTTTGATTTTAACTTCACTCCTGCTTTTTTGTTAAACGTGTAATACCTGCAAATGTAAATAACACCTTTAAACTTCTTTGAATGAAACATTGCATTATTCTTCTTTTTAACTGAACAATTTCTCATCAGTCTTCAAAATGAAATGCCTGTGGCACTTGCCAGCTTTCACTGGGAGAAAGAAAAAAGACAGCCAAATGGAAAAGAGGTCTGGCCTTGCGTAAGAGCCAGTTCTTCCTTAGTGTTTGCTTTATAGTACGAATTGCAATGAAGTCAGGAATAAATGAAATCAACCAGTTGTTCCAAAAATGTACTTTGCCTAATAATCACATTCATTCCCTTTGTTCTGTGACAGTTGTTTCTGTGTCTACTTTAAACCTAGCTCTCTGCTGGGCCGTCACTGAGAACACTGCTGTGCTGGGGCTCAGCGGGTCAGGCGTGTGTCAGCCGGCTGGGGTGTGCTGCCTGATTTGCTGCTGGAGATTTCAGTGGAAATGAAATCACAGGAATTAGCCCTGTAGCCTTAGGCAGAGGAGCCCGGGAGCTTAGAACTCTCACCTTGGTAAGGGCGGACAGATAGTAGCTGACAGGAGCAAAGGCAACCTGTGTAATGCTGTTTCTTTCCCAACCACTGTTCTCTGAGTCCCTCCTCTGGTCCACCAGGATTGCTATCATTTGTCCTAGGGACATCTGAAGGATAAGTGATAGAGGACACTGTAGCTTCCTCCCTTCACCTGGCAGAAGCAAATGTAATTCTTGGAGTGAATAAGAAAACAGGGAAGGCAGTAATCCATAAAGCACCTTGGAATGAATCACAAAAAATACTGTCTTTTCCTTAAAATGCTGTATTTCCATCTCTCAGAAATTATCCAGTATATTGCTTTTGTTAGCCCAGACTCTTCATGCCGTTCGCCAGCATAAGGAATATTCATTTCTACCATGCTTCTGTGGTCCCTTTGGATTGTTTAGTGCACGGTCCGTAATACTTTCTAGAGAGCTCCTGTGCAAGTGCTCCTTTACTAGACATATTTCAGAGTATGTTAACCCTGGAAGGCCCACTTTTCTGACCTTAGTACACAAAGTTTGACATGTAAACTTTGTTCAAAATAATCTAAGGCCAAGTATGCACAATCCACAGACCTTTCATAAGTCTGTGGAATTGGTGAAATACTTTTAAGGAAAGAAAGGGTCTGTCTAGAAGAGTCTAGCATTTCAACCATCCTGATGTTTGGTTCTGCTGAAGATGCACAATAATACTTGGTGTTTGCCTGCCTGGAACCTCCTCTGAGCACCTCCAAAAAGAGCGCTGTTCCTCTTCTGTCCTCTGGACTCCACCATGGTTATATCTAGCACCCAGTACTGCCATGGTGGGCTCGCAGTCTGACACCTGTACTGGAACCAGTCTGGATGCTGTACTAAAAAGATATCTAACAAATCTATCCATAATCCATCAGGTTTTTATTATCCACAAATTTACTAAACCAAGAGCTTCTCTCTGACATTTCAATACATAAACAATCTGCTCTAATACACAATTGAGGAATAGTGAATGGGCTTGTTGATTGTGAGTTCTCATGTACACTGTTTGTGCTCTTGAGAGATGTGTCTTCTCACTATAACTTTAACTGAAATGTGAGTTCTTTCTCAGCCATATGACAATAGGGTGAGGCATACATTTTACCTGATGATGTAAACTCTCCTAACTCAACACCACAGGTTGTTCACTAGAAAGAACTATGAAAGAATATATATTGACTAGAGGGGTGCTACCTGTCTGTTCCTGTTGATCATGTAACCCAAAGCCACTCTTGAAGCCAGTTCAGGCTCCTATAGTAAAATAGTATTTTTTTTTTCCCCTTTGGATTGAGTAAGCGATAGGCCACAAAAACGTATGCTCAGAGTTTTGAAGGCTAGAAGTCCCCCATGAAGCACCAGCCTATCTTGTTTGTGTCTGGTGACAGCTTACTGTGTGCTTCATAAATAGTGCCTTCTTCCTGAATCTTTTCATATAAGAAGAGGCAAACAAGCCCCAGACTTGACCTCTTTTATAAGGATATTAATCACATTCATAAAGGTTCCACCTCCTTGATTTAATTTCCTTGAAGTCCTCACCTCTCACTACAGTGCAAATTAGGTTTCAGCATATGCCTTTGGGAGGAGTGCATAAATATTCAACCTACAGTGCCTATCAGAATATATCCAGTGGAATCCAGTATTTTTTATACTTTAACTCTGAATTAGTCTTCAGGAAAAAAAAAAGAACAATGGAGTGGTATAGATAAGCCATGTTTCCACATAGAAAAGAGAGCAAAATTTGCAGTTAAATCTGAATGCAGTCCAAGCAGTGGCCACTGCTCATGCAGATGTGTATTTGCTGGGGCAGCTAGTGCTGCCCTTTGGCAGTGGTTATCTCTGGCTTGTCTGTTATTGATGGCGAACCTCAGTGTAAACATAATTTAGGTTGGCTAAAGACATTAGTATCCTTAAGGTCATATTTATGTGAGACTCAGTTCTAATTTGTCACAGAAAGTATAGAGCCTGTTTTTATCCATATAGACATACAAGTCTTTTCCCAGCATAGATTTGTGTTAGCCACTGAGGAATATCTCCGGCAGGGTGGAGAATGCCTTCTGATGGGAGGCTGTTTGCATGTTGTTTCTGCGTAAATATTAGTTTCTGTGTAAACTACTTGAAAACATAATCCTCTTCATGCAGTGATGTATGAGAGATACATACTCAAGTCATTTTCTTTTAGTACTTTCAGATGTTTTGAGTGACATATCTGGGCAGGTTACAAAAAACTGGAATGAGAAAAAAATCTGTGGAATGATTTGACTTCTTTATGATTAAAACAGTTTCAAATATTATTAGTATTTTTTGAAGTTGGCAGGTAAAAGAACATGGTGTCACACATGTTTTTAAGTCGTACTTCTTGAGTTTGAGTTCTGTTTCTGGTATTCACTGGCTGGGGTCTTTTGTGGGAGAGTATGGAAACTCTATGTTTCAGATTCTCTATATGTAAAATAGGAATAAAAATGGGACTTAAACATAAAAAGTATATATATATATATATATATATATATATATATATATATATAATTTTTTAAAGTGTTTGGTGAGCCAGGCATAGTAAGGCATGACTATAATACCAGCATTCTGGGAAACTGAGGCAGAAAGATCACAAATTCAAATTTTCCCTGGGCAACTTAGTAGAACTCTGTCACAAAATAAGACATTTAAAAAGCACTGGGGATATAGCTCAGTGCTTGAACACCCCTAGTTTGATTCCTAGTACTGAAAAAGACCAGTGTTTAGTGGTTAGAAAGTACTTTTGAGTATAACTTGTTACCAAGACTGTTCAAGTTTCAGTAAAAATCTCTAAGATCTTGCCACATATAAAAGTTATATAAGAAACTTTGAAAAACAGAAAAAAATCAAAAAGTCTTAACAGTTCGCTGGTTTCCTTTCAGGCACATAAGGAGTTTAGAAGTTGCCACTTTGTTCTAACAACAGGAAAAAACGAACGAACAGTTCTCCTTGAACATGTATAAAAAATTTTGAGGTCAGAGGGCAAACGACTGCTTCTTAAGCTAGAAAGCCAGATGAGAATGTAGAGAGGCTGGTTGACCAGAGCAGACACTCGGGAATAGGAACCTCTAGAGAGCAAGAGCTGAGGGGGAACTCCAGGACTGTAAGTGGTGAATGACTAGACACTCAAAGTGGTCAAATCTGTGAGTTGAAAACTTCAGGGGGACCCAGGGAGACAGAAGAAAGAAGGCCCTATACTTTCATGAAAATTGCCTCCAGGAAGTCAACCTGATTTTTTTAGTGAATTTTGGCTTAAACAAGTGGAACTTGAAATTAAAGCACAACAGTACTTATATTAACAGCCCCCAACATGAAATAATTAGCTATAAATTTAATGAAATGTGCATAAGAACTGATAAAGAAAACTGAAAAATTCTCCCGGAAGGTAAGAAGAGCTAAACAGATGGAGAGATATTCCCTGTGCGAGGATAGAAGGACCCGGTTTTGGTTTGAAGTCAGTGCCTCCCAAGTTGACTCACATTGTAACCTGATTCAGCATCTCTCAGCAAGTTATTCTGTGGATAGGGGTGAAAAGATTCTAAAATTTTGTGTGGAGGGGCAAAAGACACAGAAACGCAGTCGGTTTCAGTGGGTTGAAATCGAGGTGTGACAGGGCTACACTGCCTCCGGGGGCTCCACAGAACAGTTCAGTCCTGACCCTTCCAGCTTCGGGTTGTTGGCTTGTAGTCATATCATCTCACTCTGCGCTGGGTCACATTGCCTTCTCCTCCCGTGGCCTCCCTCTGTGAGGATGCTTGTGATTGCAACTGGAGCCTTCTTGAATAATCTGGGATCATTTCTCAGTCTCAGCATCCTTCATGGAATCACACCTGCGAAGCCTTTTATAGGCTACCATTCACATGTTCCAGATACTAGGAATAGATGTCTTTTCGAAGGAGGCATCATTCAGCCTATAACAGCTAGTGACTATAGCATTTTCTTGATCTGATAAAGTCTACCAAAAATTAAAATAGACATCATACTATCTAATAAAACACAAGAGCACTCCTTTTAAAATCAGTTTGTAATGATAATAGCAAGTAAGTTATTAGGGGAAATTCTGATTAATAAATGTACAAGGATTAATGGAGTAGAAAATCATTATTTGATAAATACTACAGTAGTAGCTATTTCAGGCAAGAATCATCAATGGATTTTAAGATGGGTGAATGAAAATATGCTGAGAAGCAGGGTATTTAAATCATTTCAAAGTATCCCCCTAAAAATACTTACTATGAATGAGGAAATAGGGACAAATCAGGCATCAGATAAACTAGAATCAAAGCTAACATCCACAGTCACGGTACAAAGCAACCTGAGGGGCCTCCTGATGTGACGTACTGGGA